CTTCTGAGGCGTGGCTGGTGAGTTTGAACCGCCAGCCTTCTGGTTAGCAGTCAAGTGCCTTAGGCACTACGCTACCAGAGCTCCCTTGATACTACATAGCAAATGTAAAAAAATACTGGGCATAATAATATTTGTCTATCATGCAAGTTTCAGTGAGTGAGTTTCATTGTCTATTGCATGTTGCATGAGACACAGTGCTTGATATTACTGTATATATGCTAATAAAGTATTAGGAACATTAAGAGGATGAAAAATTCAGTATTTATTTATTGTGCAAAATATGTTTCTGTTTTGCAAGGTGAGTGTTTCTAAATTTGTCTTCCTACAAAACAACAAAGGGCATTTATCAGAACATTTACATTTTATCAAAAACTTATGTATCTCCATGTAAATACATTGAAGAATTCTTTGAGGACATAAATGAATATTTGGATAATAAAAATTATATGAATGTTTTTTATTATCCATTTTCCCTTAGACTGACTTTCTTTTAATACATTGATTGATATTGTTGTGACTCGCAAAACAAATTTGCTGGTTACAGGCCCCATCAATTATGTCCATATCGCTGAATATGGCAGCTGAACAATACCACACAGAAATAAAATTACATTTCTTTAATTTTGTACATGATAACAATTATACTTTCTTTTTCATTTTAGGCTGATCTGGTAGAACCTCACATTCAGTCCTATCTCTTGACCACATTATATGCCAGCGGCACTATAATCACATGACTCCTGACTCAAAGCGAACCAAAATGCATCTTCTGATTGAGCGTACCCTTGTATTGGGATCATTAAATATCAGCAGCCATAGTGAAGACACAGCATCAAAGGACAGAAAGTGAGTGCACAAGTTTTAAGTATTGTTTCAAGACAAAAAACACTCCTGGAGATCTGTGAAGGGCCTGCCAGCAAACATCATGCAACAAATGTACAGAATTATTTCTTCCTGCCTTGTAAGTGCTCTCTCTTTTGACTGTTTCAGAACAAAATTGCTTCTTCCAAACAATGTCGTTTTACCTCACTAATTTTCAAATATAAATGTTTGGGTCAATGTCCACATTTGAATGTAAATATTATTTAATAAATTTCACTTGTTTTATAAATTTTATTTATTCAAATTTATTTGCCACAGTAGAATCAAATTTAAAAAGTGACATAATTTTGTATCCAGGTCAAATGAAACGGTAGCAACTAAGTGGAGCACAAAACAAATGAAAGCTCACAGAAGATAAAAGGGAAAGACTCTGTGAATCCCTAAAGACAATTCCCAAACTCACTTTCTTTTTAAAACATAATGTATCAGAAGAGACTTCTTCCACCGAATGTTCAGGTTTAATGGGTGAAAATCGTACTAGCAGTGCTAGTGCTGAAATTACTAACAGCAATACAAATATAACAGAATTAGTTCCAAATTCTATATCCATTCCTTACTCTAGCACTTAATAATGGTGTAGAAAGTAAAGCTATTTAGAATCTGAAATTGTTGCATCTGCAGAGCCCATAAATAACAGAGATACAGATCTTGCTTTGTGGAATAATTTTTCTTCTAATAATGTCAATTATTGGATCAAAAGAGGGCCAAGTGATTGTCATTGTCACTGTGGACCATTTAAAAATTCATGTTGAAAACTTCTGGATGGTAAACAAACAAGGTTCTGTAGCCAGAATATATTTCTATGGTGCAAAGCTAATGGTGAAAAGTATAATAGGGAGTGGCTACAGTTCTAAATCATTTAATCTCAATTTGCTATGGATGGATTTAATGATTGATGCAACTAGAATATAATTGATAATTATGAAAACAGTTCAATTCAGAGATTGTTTGTTGTCACATTTAAGCCAAAGACATGGAGAATTCTATCAAACGTTCAGAGAAGAGGTGACACCTATCCTACTCAAGCTGTTCCAGAACATAGAAAATGAGAAAATACTCCTAAGTTCATTCTATGAGGCAAGTATAACCCCAATACCAAAACCAGGTAAAGACATCACTAAAGACCAATATCCCTCATGAATATAGATGCAAAAATCTTCAACAAAATCCTTGCCAATAGAATCCAACACTATATATTAAAAAAAAAGTGGGATTCATATGAGGTATGCAAGGATGATTCAAGATAACAAAATCAATATAATCCACCACATATATAAAACAAAGGAAAAGAACCACATAATCATATCAACTGATGCAGAAAAGGCATTTGATAAAATTGAGCGCCCATTCCTGATAAAAACTCTCAGCAAAATAGGAATAGAAGGGAAATTCCTCAACATAATAAAAGGCATATATGCAAAACCAACAACCAAGATTATTCTCAATTGAGAGAGACTTAAAGCATTCCCCTTGTGAGTGGTAACCAGGTAAGGATGCCCTTTATACTCACTTCTATTCACCATTGTATTGGAAGTCCAAGCCAGGGCAATAAGGCAAGAAAGCGAAATAAAACACATCCACATTGGTAAGGAAGAAGTCAAACTATCCCTATTTGCAGATGACATGATCCCATACGTAGAAAACCCGTAAGACTCAGCAAGAAAACTACTAGAACTAATTGGAAGGTTCAGCAAAGTGGTAGGATACAAGATCAACATACAAAAATCAGTTGGATTCTTCTACACCAGCAAAGAGATCTCTGAAAAGGAAAGTAATACCATTTACAATAGTCACCAGGAATATAAAATATTAGGAATAAATCTTACCAGGGACACAAAAGACCTATACAAAATAAATAAATAAATTAAAATTACAAAACACTACTACAAGAAACCATAAGAGACCTACAGAAATGGAAGAATATCCTATGTTCATGGATAAGAAGACTGAACATTTGAAAATGTCAGTACTACCCAAAGCAATCTATAGATTCAATGCAATCCCAATTCAAATTACATCAAAATTCTTTAAGTACATGGAAAAATGAATCACTAATTTTATATGGAAAGGAAAGATAGCACAGATAAGCAAAGCACTACTGAAGAAGAAAGAGTAGGAGGTCTCATGCTCCTTATCTCAAAATCTGCTCTACAGCCACAGTAGTCAACACAGCCTGGTATTGGTACAGCAACAGACACATAGACCAATGAAATAGAATTGAGAACCCAGAAATAGATCCATCAACCTATGAGCAGCTGATCTTTTGACAAAGGGCTGAAATCCATTAAATGGGGAAGAGAATGTTTGTTTAATAAATGGTGCTGGCAAAACTGGATATCCATTTGCAGAAAAAATGAAACAAAATCTGTATTTCACACCATACACAAAAACTAGCTTCAGAAGGGTCAAAGACTTAAATGTGAAACCTAAAACTATGAAGTTCATCAAAGAAAAAAATAGGGGCAAATTGGGAGCTCTGGTAGCATAGTGCCTAAAGCACTTGACTGCTAACCAGAAGGCTGGTGGTTCAAACCCACCAGCCACTCCTCAGAAGGAAGATGGAGCAATCTACTTCCATAGTGATACCACCTCGGAAACCCAAGGAGGGATCACTATGAGTCGGGTCCAACTCAACAGCACATAACAACAACAAATATATGGCATCAATAGACTATCAAGCATAATCCAGGATACACAAACAGCTGAAGAGAGACCAGATGACTGGGACCTTCTAAAAATTTAGTTCTCATGTGCATCAAAAGACTTCTCCAAAAGAGTCAAAAGAGAACATATTGATTGGGAAAAAATATTTGGCTATGACATATCTGACAAAGGACTTATCTCTAGAATTTATAGAAAACGTCAGCAACACCTCAACATCAAAATGACAAACAATCCAATTCAGAAGTAGGGAAAGGCTATGAACAGACACTTTGCCAAAGAAGATATTCAGGCAGCCGACAAACACATGGAGAAATGTTCATGATCACTGGCCCTTAG